AGGAAATGACAAAAAGATGAAAAGTGGTCAAGGGCAGCTCTGGGCTTGAGTGTACCTGTGGACAGCTGCAACCTTTCTTGAAGGCAGAGGGCACCACCTAGAGGTAACATAGGTGCATTAGACTCTGTTGGCAGAGCTCCTGAGTCTTTGTAATAAGGATATTTTGTAAGCATTTCCATCAAAGGAATTGATCATTGAGGGGCTGGCAGTCTGCCCAGCTCCACAAACAGGAGTGAACTCTGGCCCTACTCTGTTCCATTTCAATATTATGTGACCATCTTAAGAAAACACTTCTCAGTAAATCTTTGATTTTACTTCCTCCCACTTAGCTAGCTAGAGACTTGGATGCAAGCCCCAGCTTCCCTACAAGGAGCTGTGGGATCTGAAGAAATTCACTGAAGCTCTGAAATGCAGTTTCCTAATGTGATGGTGTATGAGAGTCATTTAACAGAAAATACCATGTAGTCCAATTTGAATTCAACATCTGGCTCCACTAATTACCTTGGGAAAATTATTTGTCCTTCAATATCTTCATTTCCTCAACAAAAACAATGAAAATAACAACAGTACCTATCTCATGAAGTTGTTATGAGGATTAAATGAGATGCTGCCTGTACTGCACTCACTAGAGCAGCTGGCTGATGCAATCCGTGCTTCATCGCTCATTATTTTCTCCTTCGTTGGTGCCTCCCAGACATAACCTTCTATAGTTAAAATACTTCAGTTTAACCCAATGTAAGTAAGCTTGGTCTAGCTTTTAAAATTTGTGAGGGCCAGGCATGGTGGCTCACGCCTGTAATCCCACCACTTTGAGAAGCCAAGGCGGGAGGATTGCTTGAGCCTAGCAGTTTGAGACCAACCTGGGCAACACGGCAAGACCTTATCTCTACAAAATATTTAAAAATTAGCTGGACATGGTGGTGCACGCTTGTGTTCTCAGTTCTCAGCTACTTGTGAGGCTGAGGTGGGAGAATAGCTTGTGCCTGGGAGGTCAAGTCTGCAGTAAGCCATATTCATGCCACTGTACTCCAGACTGGCCAACACAGTAAGACCCTGTCTCAATAAAAGAGAGAGAGAAGGTGGGCAGAAGGGAGGAAGGGAGGGAGGGAGGAATTTATATAGACACTTGTCAGCTTCCTAAACTTCAAGATCTAACTCATATTTTTCCCCAGTTGACTAATTTAAAGATGTGCTACCCTCTCAATTGCTGATGTACAGACCTATGACTCTGTATCCCTCAGGACATCCACTTATTATTGGACAAAATCTAATTAGGCAACTAAACTCAAAGGAAGTATCTAAGGAGAAGCCCACCAGCCTCCAAATAATCACTGCCTTTTCACTCTATGCATATTAAAATTTGCAATGGAAATAAGATCAGTACCATGTATATTCTTAGTTTAGAATATTCAAGTGGCACATTTCTTCAGATTTAACATGTAGAGTATTTTAAACAATAGTTGTTTGACAGAAGACACCAAACTCTTTTTATGTAGATGTTGCTTTCAGTTGCTAAAATATCAGAAATTTTAATTATATGGTGAAACATTTTCATCAGGAGCTTCTTGGAAATATCTTTTCTAATACATAAATCGACAACTTGTACTGTTTTATCTCTACTTTCATTACTGAAAATTATTTGAAGTTCCAAACAAATTGAATAGCTTAAAATTGATTAAAATTCTGGGTTAAAAAATATAAGAACTAAATTCATGCTTTTTGAACACTCTGTCCTTTTTGTTCTAGCCCACACAACTTCATCAACTCACCATTGACTGGGCAAGTGTTGTATTTGGTCTAATAGATCTGGGCATGAGCTCTACGCATGATTCCTCACAAGCATATAGAATTTCTTTTACAAAGTGAAAAGCAAAAAACCAATAAGGAAAGTATGGTATTATTTTTGTCTCTTTTGTTAAACTTGCCATATAGAGCACATGCAGTGATCAAAATTTACTCAAAAACCTGAAGATTTTCTCTAGTCATTAAAGGTGTGGAGACAAAGCTAGTTGTTAAAAATAAACTTTAAAAAAAAAAGATAAACAGCTTGTCTCTTAGAAAAGAAAAGCCTTATAAGTATGCATTATTATTCACTTAAACTGAATAGTTTTTAAGGTTACAGATCTTGTCTATGCTTTACATGGGTTCTGAAATTGATGGAACCATCTAATGAGAGATGCTAAAGAATAGAACAAATGCTGATAAAAACTTGATGCAAAGCCTATAAAGGCATAATAGTGCAATAAGGTCATATGAGCTAGTCAGCAATACCATGTTTGGAGATGAAGACAATTGGCATTAGACTTTTGGATACCACCCTGCAATATCACCTAGGCTGGAGCGCATCATCACAATCATAGCTCATGACAACCTCGAACTCCTAGGCTCAAGCAATCTTCCCACCTCAGCCTTTTGAGTAGTCATAACTATATATGCAAGCCATGGCACCTGGCTAATAACAACTTTTAAAAATAATTATTATAATGCATTTTAGTCTTGAAATTAAATACATCAAACCTATGAAAAATATTCTGAGAGTATTCAGCACAAAGTCCTCCCTCTTCTGAGTTGTATTAGAATTGCTATTACATCATTTCAACATGTAATTTCCACATTTTAACTAATGTCTGTTGTAGTTTTAAATTGCACTTAACTTTTCTCATATGTAATTTTAGCAAAATTATGCAACTACATTTATTGATGATAATAAACACAACATGATTCAAACAGAAACCAAGCACGGATATTTAAAGATCATGTATAACCTCTCTGAATGATGTAAAACAGAAAAACGTGCCATTCTGCAATGGATCCCCTGGGGCTTCCCTATTAAATGGTTCAGACCAACAAGTTGTATGTATTGATTAGGATGATAAATGAACATAGACGTCATGAATGAGGATATCTTAAAATATGCAAATAGTGGGCACCTCAAAGAGATCTACCAAGATATTTAGAATAATTTTAAAATTACACATCATGAGAAAACCGACCTCCTTTTACGTGTAAAATATATAAGAAGATATAAGGTAGCGCTCTGAAGCCGGAATCACTGCCTTCATTTTTAAGCTTATATTCTCATGACACTCATGGGAATCTTACTTCTCTGTAAGAGCTTTTTTGACTATTAGAATGTGGCTCAAATTCAATTATGCCTCCAAATAGCTACCCAGTGAGAAATCCTGTAAAATCATTTCCAAACAACCAGCTGTTATAAAACACAAAGTCCTCCCTCTTCTAATTTGTATTATAATTGCTATTACATAATTTCAACATGTAATTTTCAGATTTTAACTAATGTCTGCTGCAGTTTTAAATTGCACTTAACTTTTCTCATATGTCATCTAGGACCTATCAGTTAAAAGAGTCACGAAGAAAAGGAGTCTTTGAACATCACTATTTTTTCAGCTTCAGCTTCAGCTTTACAAATCACATTGACTGACAAGAATATTATTGCTTCACACCAGCATTTAGATGAAATTTTCTTTTAGTTCAGCCATGATGAGATGCTTATTCTCAGACATGTTTGTAATTTTTTTTACTTTCTTTACATTGTCCTATTAATCCAAATATATATTAGTAAACACACTAATAATTGTTTAATTGATTGCCATTTTCACTCCACTGCCTTATCAAAGAAAGGGAAGTTTCATTAATTTCTGGTCATTCTTTAAGAGTATCTACACATATAGTTCATCTGGTTCTCAGATATTGTCACTTGTTCACCACAGTAGAAGACTCAGAAATATCCATGACAACAAACTGGAGCCCCTACTTGCCTCAAGGGAAGAGCTGGTTTGAACACAGCCTCTCCAATGCTTTATTGCCCACCATTCACCCTCAGGGTCCATTCTGTGGCAAGACACTGCATGTTCTCAAGGCAATGATCCTGGTGAATAAATAGCCATGAGTGGCAGTATAAGTGCTAGGAAGGTGACTTCGCCCATTTGAACAATAAAATTGTATTTTAAACAAGTCAGTTTGTCTCGGAAATATTTTTTAAGGTTCTAATAGCAAAAGAGTTGAATAATGAAAATTAAAGTATGAAACACATCTCTAGAAATAAGGAAACTAGTGTGTCAGTTCCTCTCCCCAGATGGTTTGTTTAATTCTCTCTCACACTCTGAATATTCCTACTCTCAAGAAAAAACTAGGATCCTTGTTAATTAAAACATAATCTTATTAATAAGACAAACAAAGTCATCCAGTAAGTTTCCTATTTTTCCAGAGCCACGGTTTTTGTTTTTGTTTTTTTGTTTTTGTTTTTGTGAATCACTCAAATTTTATTAGTACAGCGAACAAAAACTTTCAGCTCTCCTATCACACTGTAACATGGCATTCCATATAATTGCCTTTTTGTGTTTCCATAAGTCTTGAATTTCCTCTGCTATCATGTCCATAAGCAAAGGCTATAATCCTTTAGGACTTATAACACTTGATATCTCTTAATCCTCTCTCCTAGGTTTTGCTCAGCAAGAAAAGCACCACTCATTTGTCAATTCTCAATCACGACAACCCCATTATTTTATGACAGTTAAATTTATTCTGCTGTATCTCCAATTAAATTATAAACCCTTGATAAAAAGTTTGTCTTATTCATTTTTCTATCCTGAAGTTTAACACAGTACCTGGCACAGAGCTGGCATTCCATAAGTATAGAATGAATTATACAAAAGAAAATGCAATTAAATCATAATAATGGGTAGATAGTTCTTCAGCTTTTTAAATATTTTTTTTAAATCTATAAAGCTGAAAACACTTTAGAGTTCATCTAGTTCTTCCCTTTTGTGTTTTACCTAAGAAATTTGAGGTCTAGAGAATTTACATGATTTGCTAACAAACTGCTTAATTTTGGGAACTACCCCCATTAATTCCCACATCACACTTCCTTTGTGTTCTTCATTAAATTTGAATAATCATTCAAATATTATGGAAATAAAAATTCTTTGTCTTTTTTTTTTTTTTTTTTTAGAAATAAACACTTTCTCATTAAAAACTACTCTCTGACCTGGCAGGGGAGATACCATGATGCAAAGGTGGTTTTCCCAAGGTAAGACATATCCATTGCACTCCAGATGTGCTGATCCATGATTTCCCCAAATGTGGAAAACTCGATTGCCTAATTTGTGGCAGGGGGGACTGTGTTAAAGCTTTCCTCTGACAACAAAAAAAGAAACAAAGAAAAAAAAATCACTCTTTGAGTGCTTACCAAGAGCAAGGTACTGAACTAAGCTTTAAAAGGTAAATGAAAAAAGACAATTTATCGTCCCTGAGTTCAGAGAAGTTGTCATTATTGTGGTTGAATGAGAATTCTGCTTTGACTTGTATGAGAATTCTGCTCTGACTTTCTCTTTCCAGCCATCACAATAGGAATTAAGAAAGATAACTTGGGTATTTCTTCTCATAACATTCACAAATCAGTCTCATTGTGTTTTTATGTAATAAGTGGTATAACGATTTATCTATCATTGCATATTACAGAGGAAGGAAGGAGGGCGGAAGGAAGGAAAAGGGGAATGGAGAGAGAGAGGGAGACAAGAAAGGAAGGAAGGGAGGATAAAAAAAAAAGAGGGAAATGGAGTTATTTTCTAAGTCTTAAAACAAAGACCTGGCATAGAAATTTTACTTTTGTTTCTTGTTTTAATGCTTGTATTTTTCATTATGTTCTTTTTCTATTCCCCTCCCTCCTCATTTATTTTTTTCTTATATAGATAATGGGTGATTATATTCGTAACACTGCTATTAAAATTCATGTACTTTTCCCTCTACTTGGAACTTTAGTGTAAATATAATTACTTAATCTTATTGATGTTTATTGCTCTGTTGCAATAGCTCATTTAGATGCATATTTCCTCAAATGATTTTCTTGCCTGAGATTTGGGGAATAATTAGGTTATATTAGTTTAAATCAACAAGTATTATTATTATAACAAGTATAGAATATATGGATGACAACCTTTCTGTAACGAACTTAAGGACAATTTATGTCATTTAATCCTCCCAAAGAGATAAGACATTCATTTTCATAATCTGCAAATTATAGAGGAAAAGGGATATAAAAATATAAGAATGGACTTGGAGAAAATTGCTTAACAGAACACAGTCAAAGTGAGAAAAATAATTTAAAAATCTGTGGCTACTGTAATAAGTACATTCAAGTGTATTAAACGGCCATAAAATCTATGGTATTTTAGTGGGAAATATGAGAACGATTAAAATGAGGGAATAATTTTAAACTAAGTTCTCTTGAAATTACAAACATTTATTGAAAACTTAATAGACCCTTTCTTTACAGTATGCACAAAATCAATCCCCATGGGAAAAATCAAGGTCTGTAAACCATTGTCATTAATTTTAAGAATATGTCAAATAGCTGAATTACACTTCCTTGATCATAAATATAGTTAAGGAACCTATAAAATATACATTCTAATAACCAATGCCAATGAGAAATGGCACACTATTACAGTTTCATGTTGTTCTCAATTTTTCTCTATTAAAACTGAAAGGACAATCCCTTGAAGTGAGGGCAACACCAATATATGAAACAATAATATTATTGAATAATATACTTCATTGGCAGAAGCTCATTACGATGGTAATGCAACTATTCAAAGCAACATCATTTTGCTCTTTTGTCTATGAAACTTATTAAGGTAAAATCTGATGTTAACATTAACACCCACTAGGTGAAATTATTTCCTAGAATTATAATTATGTATAATGGATAACAACTGCATTTTTAACTTAACATTTAAAAAAGTATAAAAGCATCACACTTAACCCTGTGTGCTCTTGCAGAAATAAGTTAAACTTTCAGCCACTCATCTCCTCCATTTCTAAATGGGTACAAACCTTCTATAGCAGGAAATAGATTGAGAAAACTCCTCAGACAGCAATAATGCCCTATTTAAAAGTAGTCAAGAAGCATGAAAAACTAAGTACCTTCTAGGGTGTGCAGCAAAGGGCTGTGGAGAATAATGGACCGATGAGCTACTTCCTAATGGCAGAATTGATCTAATCAAGGAATCTCTAGGAAGACCTAGCAGCATTTGCCCCGTGAGATTTCAGAACTAATGCAGACAAGTGACTGCTATGTGGTTTTCCTAGATCACTTTATTGAACAGACAAGTATCTTGTTATTAGGTTGCCTTAGTCTAATCCATGTGTTGGTTGTATGTGATATTGATAAACTTTTTAATAAAGCTCTGGATTTAAAGGAGTGCATCCTGATTTGAAGTATAAGATAACATACTAGACTCACAGTCTGATGCTATTATTAGATGAGATTTTGTGGGGCCACTGAAAGAGATGTTATTTTGCATCTGAAAGGCATATATATAATTTTGAGCAGAGGGTAGACTACAGTAGATTTGTTACATTAATGTAATCAATGAATGTCTCTAAGCCATTTGCTCTGCAAATTCCTAGTCTCTTCCCTTTCTGACTTTGAAAGAGGCTGACTTGGTTAGACCAATGGGTATTAGCAAATGCAATGCAATCAGAGAATTGAAAGTTGGAAGTGTGTTTCTATGAAATACTTTCTAATTGAAAGTTCTAAGTGTATTTACTGAGATCATTCTTGACAACAGCCAGTAGACCACAGAACAGATAAGAGAACACAGGCAAGACCGATTAATTTCAACCTGGAGCAGTAGAAATGCCAAGCTGACCCATAAACCTACTTGTGAAAAATAATAAATGGTGGTTGTTTTAAGCCACCAAGCTTTGAGGTAGTTTGTTAAGCAGACATAACTAACTAAAATATCTTCATTAGCATAATCTGGTTTTTTGCTCAAAATCCTGTGTTGACCAGGATTAATCATTGGACTATCGATAGTTTCCATTGAGCTTGACCAATGAATCTCTTTTCTAAGAAGTCTATCTTTAGGGAAATCAGTGCCGGGCATATTAACTCCAACTTTTGTCCAATACTCTGATCACAAAGCTTGTCCTTAAAGGTCATGCTTAAAGCAAAATACCATAATTTCATGACCAATTTCCTAAGAACTATGAGAATAAGAACTGAACGTGCCAATGACAAAACTGGCAGATTGTCAGCAATGCCAAATAACTACCCTCAGGATGCAAATTCTTCCTCTTGGGGAATATGCAGTAAGATCTCTTTTATGGACAACCCAAAAGACATCCAGACATCCATGGACAGTACTAATAAGGCTGACATCACAGACTAAGAAAAGTCTTAAGAAAACCTCTAAGTTTTCTTCCAAGTATCTTCCAATGACCTCTACTATTCTGAGAGATGAAAGAACCATTCCCAATAATCTTCTAAACCTTGGGAGCTAAGATCCTTTTTTGGCACTCAGTTGTATTTGCCAGCACTGCTACATGGTATAACCATCAAGTTTTCTAGGATGTTTTGGGAATAGACTAGGGGAATCATTATGCCCTGGAAGTATTCAAGTATTCTCTCTCTCTCTCTCTCTCTCTCTCTCTCTCTCTCTCTCTCTCTCGCTTGCTGGAAGATTAGACATTTTAGCAAAGAAAGTCACCACTTATGAAAGTTGTAACAAAGAATTTGGGTTGGACTTGTTGGTAATGCTTCTTGAAGAAATCCTGATAACAAGACAGTGTGAACTCATTTCCAGCCTCCAATGAATTCAGTGTTCCATTCTTATTAAATAAGAACATTTTTTTTCTTCTGAATGTACCCATAGCCTCTGTCCCATACCAAGATAGCTCACCTCAGTGGAAATCAGTAGTTACCCTATTACCACCAAACTAATGCACTCTCATGTTCTTGATGTAGTTGAAGTCTACTCATTGGTACTTTTACCCAGGGCGGGACACGCCAGTATGGAAAAATGTTTGGACCCAAAAATATATTATCATACTAAACCTGGTAAAATAAATTGGTATGTCCTTCATCTAGGGGGTCATCAACAGTCTTCCCAAATATGGTAGTACCTCTAGACTTCACCCAATCCATGGCACAGAGGGCAGTCACACTTCTGTCAAAATAGGGATGAGGCGAAAGTTCTGTCACACCGTATTCCTATTTCCTAGTCACTAACCACATCGGAGGAAGAGCTAGTGCTTGCCCAATCATACAGCTTAAAATCCCAGGGGCAAAATCTCAGAGTGTCACTGCAGTTTGATTTCCAGCACAGCCTAAATTCTTGGCATTGACCTAGAATGCAATGAACAATGAGGCATTGACACACCTGCTACTATTCCTGTCTCCATGAGTTTTCTCTGATAAATGCTACTCCAGCATCTTCAACATGTGTGCTCTCTTGCCATTTCCCCTCATGTGTATGAGAGTTAGCAGGGCAAGATGTAGATCTGGCCAGGTGGCTAGAAAGCCATCACAGCTCTCTAGAAGAAGATTGAGGATTCAAAGGAAAATGACAAACTATAAAGGAGGGAAAAGTTCATCTGAGGCAAATCAGTTAGGCTTTAATATGCGTGGTCACTGATGCTCACAAGAACTAATCTCACGTCTTTTCTAAAACAAGGATACACAGGGCAATAAGATTACCTGCAGTAGAATGTCTTCATTGTGATTAAATACCATTGAGGGAAGAAGTCCTTCTTAAAACTTTATGCATGCACATGTGCCTGTGTGCACATGTGCAGACACATACACACACACATGCACACAAGCACACTAGTACATAGGGTGTTTATCCAATGATGACTAAAAAATGAGAACATGCTGACTGTTTTGGACTAGACAGACTATCTGGAAGTCAGTGATGAGAGGAGATCCAAAATTGTACAACTTCTTTATGAGATTAGAATACTAGAGTCATGAGTCTGACAGCATAGCCTCTAGGGTCTCACTAGCCTACCACCTCTGCATTATCAGAGTTATTCTGTGATTGAAATGCCAAAGGACAGCCGATGTCTCTCACCTGGAAGATTCTCCTGCAGATGAGTATAGGAACAGTAACTGTTAACACTCAAACATCATTTGATCAACCAATGACATGTCCTCCAATGGCCAGGCAACCCAACAGTAGGTATGCCTTTATGAAACTGATAGCATTCCTTGCCTTTTTATGCCCACATAATGAGCAAATAGAAGAACAATCCAAGCCAGGTCTTTTCTTCTTTTCTCTTTTCTCTTTCTCCTTCAGTTCTCTCTTCTTTGCATGTTCTAGGTTTCTTCCAAATGTATTGTTTATTGTTTGTTT